AGGGAAGAATACATAAATCATGCCTTTGCTTTTACCCATTTCAAAAATATCAAAACACTTTTCAAATTTTCAAAAATCAGGTTTATTCAAATTTTTAATTATGAATTAATAATTATTAAATTAATTTATTATTAATATTTAATTCTACTATAAAATAAATAACCCACCCCCACCTCCACCACCCCTACAACTCCGGGGATATTCTGACGACCGTTCAGATCACCACTCGTCTCCGACGACCTTTCCGGCGACTTTTCCGATTCCGGCGAAATTTATTAGGTCACAAATCTATACAATTTGGTCACAATTCAAAATTTTTTAAGTCACAATTCAAAAATTTATTAGGTCACAAATTGTTCATCGGTCACAACTTCAAAATTTGAAAGTCACAATTTCTTCATCGGTCACAATTATAAAATTTAAAAGTTACGTTACTTAATTTTTGGTCACAAACATCAATTTATTGGTCACAAATTAATAATTTTTAGGGCACAAATTAGTATTTCGTAAGTCACACAACTTGCACGGGGCACAATTTATCGAATTCATTGGTCACAAATTGTTTATCTGTCACATACCGACCAAATCATTGGTCACAAACCGACCAAATCATTTGTGACCATCACTTCGTCACTGTCACCACCAGCGGCACCACCACCGTCGCCGCCCCCATAACAACACCAACATCTCAAAGCCAACTTCAGACCCTCTCAGCAACGCTATCATCACCCCTAAACCACCACCGCCACACGCACCACCAAAACAACCCAGAACACCGCCACACAACCACAACACACAATCATTTCACTGACACCCAAACACACTATCACCACCGCCGTTGGGGTCCACAACCCATCGACAATCTGCAGCGAACGGTAACGTCCCGACACATCGTTACGCACCGCAACCGCACTCCACATCTTTACCAAACACACAGATCGCACCGCAACCGCCACCGCGCCTACAAACACGCCCAATCGCAAACCGCCATCGCACCCACGCACACACAAACTAACCAGCCACACCAAACCGCCAACGTCCGCCACCTGCCATGACACATACAGACAAATTCGGGCACCACAGCCCCCACGCACAGAGAGATCGCCGCACGCACGCAACCGCACCTCCACCCACATCGAAGACCCACACCGCACCAGATTATACCAGTAAGATCCACCAAATCCGCGACAGATCCACCAAATCCGCGAGCTTGTGGGCTACGGTGCGCCGGACGGAGAGGAGAAGACGGACGGGAGAGAGAGACAGAGACGGATGGGAGAGAGAGGGGATGAATTTAGGTTTGATTGGGAGAATAAATTGGGATACAGACGGCGGCCGGTGAAGAATGGTAAAAGACAGCGGGTGAGAGGACGAAGACAGCGGGAGGGTTGAGTGAATGAATTAGGTTTTCTTTGGAATTATATTAATTTGGGTGAAAATTTATAATTAATATTTAATAAAATAAAACCTGATTTTTGAAATGTTGAAATTGTTTTTGGGTTTTTGAAAATGGAAATCTAAAAGTATGTGTGGGTGTAATTTCGTCTAGGGAAAATAATGAGCAAATTGACCGGCCCAAGCCCACACCACCAAACACAAGTGAGGTTCCAAACCAAAACCAATTGACAATGAGTGGAGTAGCTCACTTGGGTTATATGGTGGATTTCTTTTCTTCTCCCAACCGATGTTGGACTTTTTGTTTGCTCCCAACAGAAAATTCGAACCTTTTTATGTTTTCATGAATTTTCGCTTGTTCGTAATTTAGGTTAATCGATTAGGAAATTGGAGTGAAGCTTGACTCGCCTGGTTTAATAACAGATCAAGTCAAAAATTCTTTCATTGGAGCTCGGGAAGTGGAACCTTTTGGAGGCTATGGGAGCCAACCGTTAAATTTTGATAAACGTGTTTCAAGTCGTCTATATACTTGTCATGTCGAAAATGTTGTACAAATTCGTTTATTTCTTTCACTCTTTATCGGTTGTGAGCGTTATCTTTGTAGTTCCTAACTGTTGTTTTATTAATCAAGGATTTGAATCGTAGTGTAAAACAACTCTTATTTAAGCAGAGTATGCAATCAATCAATACACAAAATGTCATATAGGGATAAAAGAGAGCATAAATTTTGTGTTGATCTTCTCAAGAAACTTATGAAGGTTGCCTCATTTCTGCCTTGATTGCAGCTGCCAATTGATCATAAGCTTCCCCCCACGCCGTCTTCATCTCCGGCGACCACATTTCTGGAATTGCTTCTTTTATCGTTTCCAGCAATGCATACTTTGTCACCTGCAAGCACTCGTGGAATGTAAAATGTTACAAATAAAGAAGATAAGTTTGTTCATTTGAAGGGATTCTCTTCTATGTTCGAATTCTTATCATGTAGAACAAAGAACTTGGCGAGCAAAATCTATTAATGAATAAGAAAAGAACACTAGCTTCGACTCTGAAAAACCATCCAATTCAGTTAAGTGTCATTGCTTTGTTAAGAGAGCAATATTAAGCAAATTAAAACACACAAAGAAGACACAGATATATAATAGTTTGCCCTTAATGTGAGAGCTACGTCCATTTGCCACTATAGATTTTTCATTAGTAACGAAGGAAAAGATTACACGGAATTTCATACACATCTATATCTTGTTGACCCAAAACAGCCTTCCTAAAATCCCATGATATAAATATTAGGATGACCTAATATGTGCCTGGATTACCCAACATCACATTGTTAAAAAATGCACACTAGGATTTGTTTCTTCAAATATCTAACATTCTTGTGAACAAATTCAATATCATCACAGTCTAGGAAATTCAATATCGTGTAGTACCTCAAAGTGCTCATCGGCCACACCGTATTTGAAGTGAGTAGCTCCCAAATCTTTCAAATTTGAGTCTTTCACGATGACCTTACCAGCTTTGCGAAGTTGTACAGCTGCTTCACAAGTCTGCAAAAGATCAGCCCGTAAAATAGCTAATATGAAGATGGGTAGAGAAAGAAACCTGAGCCTTTTCTAAATCATCATGATTTAAAAACGTAAAAAAGGTCATGATCAATGCGATGAAAGCATGTTAAGTGCCTGTGCGCCACGCCGCACGTCCATGCAGGCTCGACCAATGCTTCACATGGTCCTCACATGTGCATTTAATTGGGTATTTATCCCACTTTACACTAAAAAATGTCCGGTTGACCAATAATCTTTTTGATTCTTTGACACTACAACACAAATTCCAAATCTTTTTTTTTCCCTGGTCAATTCCTTTTCTTCAATTTTCTTGAAGTTTGATGACAATTATGTGGATTGGCATGCTCAAGAACAAGCATATAAAGCCATTAAGCTTTAATTGTTCATAAGCAGCTTATACTATCTTGAATAGTTTATGTGAGATGCCAGGTTCATATATTTGCATCCATGGGAGCATTGTCGGGATTTAAAGGTAAGTTTGACACGTAAAACTAATGCAAAGCAGCAATGCACAAAACAACTGATTTTTTTCCTTTTCTCATGTTCAGTGTTGTCGAACATACAAGACATGAATGTTACGATATAAGCCTCAATCGTCACTTACGAAAGCAATAACAAACAAATTATTTAGAATTAGAGAAAAGTGCGAACAGATTTTACAGTTGTTCATCTTCAATATTAGATCTATGTCCACTTTGTCAGTCCATGTATTCAGTATAGTGAAGAAGTAACTTGATCTCATGCCTCTCACCCACAGAAATAATCTTGCCTCCTATAATCCTTTATGTAGTAGGAATATTAGGTCGATCAGTGGGCGAGGAGATAAGTGTACAATATGATTAGGCTCAACACAGTTCAACACTAAGATTAAACTTGCCCACGGCAAAACTATACTGGCATATGCCAAAACAACAAGAAGAACATGGTCTACTGCTCTAATTTTCTAAACCTATCGTCGAAAATGGAGTAAGATATACTAAATAAATAACTTACCATGACGAAAACAGTCACGGCATGGGGTTTAAGCTTTGGATTCTGCTCCAGAGGAACCTCAGAATCCTTCAAAAATGGAAAAATATTTTTTGCAGATGGTGCAATCTCAAAGATCCTGCGATTCAGTCCGAGTGACTATAATTAAGTAATTAAATGGGATCAATATTAAACACACAGGTAAACAGTATTGACAGCACTGCTCGGGACAAGGACAAAATTTTAACTTCTTTTTCTTACTTTCATGTACATTCCAATGTACCAAACGAGCCACCGGGGATCTTATTTTCATCCTGATCTTAGCAATGGAGATATTTCATGTTGTATTGAAAATTTAAGAAAAGGTTAATAGAAATTTGATCACCTCAAGAAGAACTTAAGACCCAATTCTCCAGCATTCTTCTTCATTACATTCCATGATTTTACCACCAAAGCTTCTTGTCCTTCAGTAAAATTTCTCGCTTCCAGTCTCCTATTCTTCTCCACGCCTGCCCAAAAAGTTCCGGGGATAAAGTCCTAATAACGTTCTTATTAAAGCAATAATAACACAGAACAAAAAAAATTGAAGCACGCAGATTTATCCGCTATATCCACTTGTCATCGCAGGTTTTCACTGCAATAGAGAAGAAGAGTGCAGAGTTTTTGTCACCCCTAAAATCGATTATATATTAAGAATATTGGGCTGATCCGTGGTGGATGGATAAGAGTACAATATAAATAATCTCTACGGAGTCAAGGAAAGAATCATATGCTAGCATAAATTCATTAAAAAAAATAAAATAAACTTACATCTTGGAATTCTTAGAGATTTGCAGGCAAGTCCACATTCTGATCCATCCCTTCTAACCCAGGAATAATTTACAGAACGCTTAAACAAAGATCCCAATTCAAACTTTTCCTTTACAGTAATCTTGGAGTAATATGCATAAGAACTCGATGAAGTTCCTGTAATAAATTAATCATTAGAGAAAAAAGAAAACAAATTTGTCATAAAAATCAAATTGAGAAGCACTAACCATTGCACTGAATCATAGTGGTATCAGAACCAAGATTGTTGATGTTAATTTTCCAGACATTCATGATTGAAGACAAACTAGCAGTATTAGTTCAATGAGGAAAGGCAACTTTATGATCACTTTTAAAAATATATATATATATATATATATATTGACTTATTTTTAATCTTAAACAAACCTGATTGACCTTTGGGAATTAAGTAGAGACACTTCTGAGCTTTCTAATAAAGGTGCACTGTGCTGGGGAAGGTTGAGGGGTGAGATTTCTTGACTATATGTAGATAATTTAATGTCTGCTTTTGACCAATTTGGTGAAACGATAGGGCCAATTAGTATATTCAATGAATTGTGTGACGGTTACTTATGTCATCTTCAGAAAGAAACAAACCCCCCAACAAGTGGAGACTCCAAAACCGGGTGCTGCTTAAAAAAATTGGAGTTCTCTTATCTTATTATTGTGATGTGGATAAGTTCGTGCATGAGAACTTGACTGTCGTACTTGTGAATATAGATTGATAGCGCTAGATTGTATGCACGTGTACTTAACTAGCTTATGACAAAGGAACCAACCCAATCAAAGAACACAGAACCTTGAAATTTTTCTGTCGATAATCTCTACAACCTGAAGATCTGAACAAAGAATCCAATTTTTGGGACAAACAATTTGAACAATGACAAGGAAAGAAATCCGTACATTATCAAGACTGCAGACCCTGAGAAAGTTATTCCAGTTACAGTGTTAAAACAGATCGGGGATGTACAAAAGAACGAAAATAACGACTTGAGACATTTTTCCCCCATCAGATAAGTGGGAAAAATGATTTCATCCACATCCATAGTTCACATCAGGTGTAGAAACAACTGAATCGAATGGAATTTCAACTCTCTCTTTCACAATACACTGCATTTCACCATTTTCGATCACTGGGACTTTCCCCGGTGGACAATTATCAGACGCTCCTTTATCACCAGTCCCTTGCAGCCAAACTCTGCCTGAAATCTTAAATTGATTATCCCGCTTCTTTAGCCTCGGTTCAAAACCAGCCAAACTTAATACCGAGATTACCCCAACAATAGTAAGGGCAGTCCTGGCTGCTGCACCAAGAAATGACTTCATACCATGGCCTTTCAACCCAGGACGTGTCTGGTTTCTATCTGTCTCGAGATTTTTTGTTGTTTCAGGGAGATTTTTTACTCCGCCACTTATTACCCCGTTTTGAGCATACTTTCGAGTGGAAGAAAATATTGAAATATGGCAATTGTCTGAGACTAGCAAACGAGATGGTTGAGTTGGATAAGGAGGAAGAAGGAGATCATTAATGTCCTCTGTTTCACCAGCAAAAGCAATAGCCTCATTTATAACTTCCAAGTCCTTGCCTTTGTATTCCTTCAGCTTCTTGAGCAGCTTTTCCTGGCTGCACTCTATCTCAGCCAGGGCCGTTTCTTTCTCATACCACTGCTGCTGCTGTAATGCCTAACAAAGAAAATGATAGATGAGAGTGCTTTAGCTGACACAAAAGCGATGCATAAACATCATAATTTTGATGAAGAAAATCATATAGTTGAGAGAGCACACAAATATAAAGAAACATGGAATCAAGCACCGCCATTCTGTAAGGGATTAGACCTAATCCCTACACTTAACAAAGAAGCAATAAGAAAACAAACAAAGCACCGCAGGAATTATAGTGGTTCACACTCAATGTCCGAGTTACATCCACTCGCTACCGTAGATCTTCACGATAATGGAGAAGAGTACAAAGATTTTCTCTCATCTCTCAAATTTGTCTCACACACCAAAAATGACACCCCCGAATAAATCCTTTATGGTACAAATATTAGGGTGACACGATAAATGTATGATGACCAATATATAATCACAACCAATAAAAGAAAAAATGAAAATTGTGTTGTAGCAAGCTAACAATTACAGTGAATAAGCTGCATATAGTCCAATACATGTATGAATGCCCGAAATACACCTACAACCAACAACATAAAATAAACAATAGTAATGACTCGGAGAAAGCTAACAATTAGAGTGTGATTAGGCTCCACATATTCCAACATATTCACGATTCTAGCAAATGGAGCAAGCTAACAATTACAAGATTTTGCAGACTTAAATAATAGCAGAAATGGCACAGAAAGTCAAGCAATAACTAGCTAGTGGAAGTCCTAGCAAATTACTATGAGAAGAAATTGTAATGACAGTTGATGGTCATATGTTAAAATCTGAAAGTCACTTATAGCAACCAAACAATTATTGGTCAACTATAATTGCCAAGCTACAAAGCTTAAAGAATAAGAATATTGATAAGATGTATCCTTCCAAGAGATCCAAGACTCTCACCATTGTTTCAACTTTAAAATTTGTTATAATGCAGATTCAAGAAATAAAGTTCCATTGTAACTGGTTAGATGATACATACAGAAGATATGACAACTAATTCAATGCATCTAAACTATATCTAATGTTGATTAATACTTTCCATTTATGAACCAAAAGAACTTACCATTAGCCTCAAAGAAACTAATCGTTGAAATTTAGATTTAGAATGGAAGTGACCCATAAAAGAGATATTCATCTACCATCTCACATCTTCTGATTTGTAGACTCTAGGCACATATTTTTTTTCATCCAATTAAGCATCTCAGCCGTGTTTCTAGCAAGATAGTGTGTGTCTGCCCAGAGTTACAAGAGTGATAAACCCCTAGTCCTAGTGCATGTTTGGTAAATACGACTAGCAAGTATAATGAATATTTTTCTTCCTCCATACAATCCTGAGCTATCCAATCCTCCCGTCAAAACATGCTATAATGAATTTTGAACTGCAAAGTTCCACTAGTAATTCGTAATTTGATTCGACTAACTTCTTTTGTGGTTTCCCAACCTTTAGCGTTGCTAAAGGGCCAAAGACTTGTGTAAAATAATCTCACTTTAGTTCTTAATCTAATCTCATTTCATTCCGAAACAAATTCAATAAATTCTAAAGCATGACCAATTACAGACGATCCGAAATCCAGTAATTAAAAACAAAGGCCTCTAATTAAGGACGGAATCTAAAATCTTGTCAAGAACAAAGGAAATAAAAACAAAATAAAAAAGGAACCTGTAAAGAAGATAACTGGACTTCAAGCGATTCAAGGGCATCTCTAATATTGAGCAGACTCTCTATTCCTTCATCATCATCATCATCTAATTCTCGATCTTCTGCAACTGGGCTTGCTTCAGATTCTTTGTTATCAGTTTCCTTAACTTGATTTTCCACATTAGAAGTTGCCTTTCGAATACAGTTGGTAATCTTGGACCTCAACTCCGAAGCCCTTGCCAACACCAAACCTATTCTATCTTCATCCATTTTTTGCCCTCTTTCTGTATATATCTCTACTGTTTCTGCTTCATCTAATGATTTGAAGTGAAAGAGGGTTTCGAAGGTTGCAAGGTTCTGGAGCAGAGTCCAAGTGATTGTGGTGCAAAATAACTATTTGGCTGCAACAGACTTGAATGGCTGTGTCATAACAGTGACAAAACAACTAAGCGTGTGTTTGGAACCCCTTTTTTGGCCCAATAATCAATTTCTCCTACGGTAGAATCAGACATGCCTCCCCAAAGTCAAGCCGGTTGTCACTATCTTCATCCATTTTTTGCCCTCCTTCTGTATATATCTCTACTGTTTCTGCTTCATCTAATGATTTGAAGTGAAAGAGGGTTTCGAAGGTTGCAAGGTTTTGGAGCAGAGTCCAAGTGATTGTGGTGCAAAATAACTATTTGGCTGCAACAGACTTGAATGGCTGTGTCATAACAGTGACAAAACAACTAAATGGACCAAAATCAATCTATTTCTCCTCATATATATTATAAAAATGGGTTATTAGCAAGAAATTATCAGAGTTGATTGTGCAAAACGTACATAAGTATGTACGTTATATTTTTTTACATTTTCGCCCATATTTTCACATTTTATTACAAAAATAATTATTTTAATTCAATTTCCCAATAAAAAATCGTGAAATAACAAATATGCCCTCCCAATAAAAAATCGTGAAATAACAAATATGCCCTTCTACTTAAATAAAAAAAAAAGAAAAAAAAAAGAACAACTAATTGCAATTAAAGCCCCAAACCTTTAAAATATTAGTAGATTTTTTTCAAACATTTCATTTGTTAGTGTGTATCGTATTAGTTCAGCTTCATAAGTTTGTCGATGTATACGAGATCGTTTATTTGTGTTTCGAACAAGTCATTTTCTATAAGTTTTCCCGTATTTCAATTGCGGATGTTATCAATATATCGATGGAACGTTATTTGGAGGTGTTAATGAATTTCCAATCGTAACTCAAAATGGATTTCACGTCCAATTTGCATTTCATGAGATTGATTAAAATATAAAAACAAGTTCAAGTGAGTTGGAGGGCAATATTGGAATAAACAAAAGGCATTATTTTGAAAAGTCAATGTTGGCATCAACGGGCAGTGGAACGTGTGAACAAAATTGGTGTGGAAAGGAAGTGGGGTCCCACCTATGTTGGAATGGATTTTAGTTAATAATTCACATTTGTGTCAGAATGCACTATAGTGGAATTTTGATGTCGGCAAAAAAGGGGTTCCAAACACACGCTAAATGGACCAAAATCAATCTATTTCTCCTCATATATATTATAAAAATGCGTTATTAGCAAGAAATTATCAGAATTGATTGTGCAAAACGTACATATTTATGTACGTAATATTTTTTTACATTTTCATCCATATTTTCACATTTTATTACAAAAATAATTATTTTAATTCAATTTCTCAATAAAAAATCGTAAAATAACAAATATGCCCTCCCAATAAAAAATCGTGAAATAACAAATATGCCCTTCTACTTAAATAAAAAAAAAAAAAGAATAACTAATTGCAATAAAAGCCCCAAACCTTTAAAATATTAGTGGATGTTTTTCAAACATTTCATTTGTTACAACACTTTATCTTCTTCAACCAAAATTACTCTTTACATAAACCAAAATCTGATTTCAAATAAATATTAAATATCAAGAAATAAAAATTATAAGCAAAACAAAGGGAAAACACAGCAGCTTCTACATCTACAAAAAATCAGCTTTAACTCTTGTAATTTTTCAAATCTCATCACATGAAGAAGTATAGTCCTTGTTTGATCCTCATTTTTATCAAAAATTCATTTTTTTCAAACCTCATTTTCAATTACAAATTTTTAAATAAAATAATATTACATGTAAATTGAATTTTTTTTTCATTTTTAATCATACATTCTCCAAAATTCATATTCAAAATGCATCTGGTTGACCTCAAAATGTGCTGCCAACAGATGTCGGACTCACTCGTGCATGAGCAGGCTAATCCCGACACGTAACAACAGATCAACGGTCGAGATCATTCCTAAACTGGACGTGGGAGAGAAGTTCAACGACACGAGACATTTCCGTTCAAGTTCCGGCGAGATATCCGGGATACGATTGTACAATAATAACCAATCGCTATGAAATCAAAGTAAAATGCTGTAAATCAACATGCGTAAGAAGAAAATAAGTTGCTTTTTAAGTGTTAAGAGTTGCATCCCCCTTCAATGGCCACAAAAAAATGGTATTTATAGTGTTACAAATGGGATGGTAACCCTTGGATGAAATTACACGTGACCTCATCTCCTTGACCGAAACATCTAATCCTAGCCATCCTTTTGACATTCTTAGCTTACAACGCATTTAATGTTCTTACACTCGATTGACAAGACAAGATAAATATACTTTTACAAATGTCACATCAATCATTCCACAAGGATCTCTAGTCATAAGTTCAAGCTTTGCACGTGGGCCGTCACTAATCGGGCTAAACTAGAGATGGCAATGGGCCTAGCCCGTATACACACGAGCTCGACCCATGCTCGTAGCTCGTTCTTCTATGGCTAATGCTTCGGCAGGAGTTGGTTCACAACTACAGTGGGTCGGCAGCGTGGTAGTGTCGCCAATGGTGAGTCATAACATATCTTTCTCTCAAAATGGGGCTTAAACAAGGGCATAATCGAAAAATCAAATGAAACCACTTTTCGCACTTGAGTCTCCATTCAACCATGAAACAAGAAATTAATTTCCACAACCGACAGGATAATAAGGTCCTTCAATGACAAATTTACAACAGAAAAGATCAAGGATGGAGGAGTAAAATGTTTGAATGGTCACT